CAGAGGCATAGTCAAATCACCAAGGAGACGCTTGCTACTCAAGAGCTCCAAACCATTAAAACCTCCTTCAACTCCACCATGACTAAGCTATTAAAGTTGAAGGAACTTGAAGAGTCCTCTAAACTACTAACGACAAATGAAAATATGATCTCAGCTTCGGATGAAAGTTTACAGCAGGAGTTGGAAAACTCCTCGCTTTTGAACATCAGTTTGAACGAAGAGATGAGAGTGGCAAGGATACTTGAAGATGAGCCTTATGAGTACATCCATAACGAACCATACTCATGTCTGCTGCGAGCTCCTTTCTTAGTGCTTTTGATTGCAGTTGAGCCCAAGAAAACAGACGCCAGGGATGCCATCAGGAAAACATGGGCCAATGAAAGTGTGGCTGGGGGTTTGGGTTTCGTCCGGCTTTTTTTCATAGGTGTAAATCAAGACACTCAAAGAAATGGCAGCAAACTACAGCACACAATAGAGGAAGAAAGTGACAGGTATCATGACATCATCCAGCAAGATTACAGGGATACTTACAACAACCTTACCCTAAAAACGCTGATGGGGATGTACTGGATCACAAAGTATTGTCCCGAGGCCAAATATGTCATGAAGACAGATAGCGATATGTTTGTCAACACCGAATTCCTCATAGACAAAATCCTAAAGCCCAAAGGGCAGCGGACACAGAAGTATTTCACAGGACTTCACATGATAGACTTCTCCCCAAACCGAAACAATGAGAGTAAATGGTATATGCCCCCAGAAGTGTACCCTGGTAGGCGATACCCCACATTTTGTTCTGGGACTGGATATGTCTTCTCAGGTGATATGGCTCAAAGGATATATGTGGCATCTCTGACCATACCCAGACTGCATTTAGAAGACGTTTACGTGGGTATGTGTCTAGCTAAACTGAAGATAGAGCCAGAGCCACCACCAAATGAACATCTGTTCAACCACTGGCGAGTGCCCTACTCTAGCTGTAGGTACAGCAACCTGATCACCTCTCATGGGCTTCACCCCAATGAGCTGATCCAGTACTGGCAGCACCTGCAGAGCAACAAGCACAATCCCTGCCAAACAACAGGGTGAAACGTTCAATAAGCGGACAGTTTTTTTTTGGAGATTCTGCCAAATATAACAACAAAACCATAGTTTTTTTGATCATCATTTTTTTCATTATTTTAATCTTAATGACTGATTATTTTCACAAACCTGGCTGATTAAATGGGTACAAAAATATTCAGTTGTGGTTTAAGTATTATTATTTTTAATGGTGAATTTTATCGGATTGTGAATAAGCCGAAAAGGGTCTTCGAGATACTAAAAGATATTACAGCTATAATGCATTCAAGAAAATGTGGTCATTTTGGTTCAACCAATGCACTTAAAGGACCACAAGTGTAGCATTTACCATCCAATAGAGAGTCAATTGGTAGAATAAAGATCTTTTGGCCGTTTCCTGAACTTGGGTTCGTGATTGAATTGCAGTGGGTCTGTGAGTTTAAATCATAAAAATGTCAACTTAACCTAATTAACTCACTTTAAAATACATAAAACACCCGAGTAGAATTTTTTAGAAAGGAAAATAAGGTAGATAGAAAGAAGGTGAATCAAATTATGAATAATTTACTGCCATTTTGTGCATATGTAATGATGTAATCTCTAAAAAGTAATTGGATTACGAGCATTTTTAAAAATGCAATATAATCTAATTAAAAATGGCACACTCGTTTTATGCGTATTTGGCGCCACCTATTGTTGTGGGTGTATTATTGACACGTCAAAGTCTAGACCCTGAATATAAGACGACCGAGTTTTTTCAGATGCGTTTCCAAGAAAAAAAACATCGTCTTATATTCGGATCAATACGGTACTTAATTTCTGGAATCCGATGAAGTAATCCAGATTCCATGTAATCAGTATCTACACGGCATTGTAAACACTACAATCAACAAAGGGAATGGAGAACGAAAACTTAAATCAAAGAGTTAAATGCTATGAAATATCAGGATTGAATGAGGATTTAGATTTTAGTCCTTTAATTATTACTCTACACATTTTTTTTTGGTGCATTTTTGGTAACATTGTCTAAGCATAGAAACAAGTAATAACAGCAAAAGTGTAAAACCATGAGATGGAGACATGCTGTTGATGCAATGTCGTAATTACCATAATTTCGAGATGACAGCACATGACATCCTACTTGGAGCCATTCACATCCTCGGACTAGGAATCACACATTTCTATCAACATTGGCAATGCCTAAACATTATCTTTAGGCACTTCACGATCCGATCCGATCCTGGGAGTCACGATCCGATTCCAAAACTATTCTTGATCTACATTTTTTCCTAATTAATTATTCTGCTGTGCAAATACATCTTTACAATTTTACATTCTAATCAAAATCGCAGTTTCTATGCTTTTTGTTTATAGTCGGAATCTCTGTAAGTCAGTACTGCCATCTTATAAATAGGGGTGTGAATCTTCACTGGTTTCACGATTCAATTAAATTACGATTATCATGTCAACAATTTGATATCAATCGAACTCAATATCCCGGAGTCACATTCTCAATATTACTGCACATGGCTACATTTTCAAACACATTTGATATCAAATTTATTTTGTGCAAATTTTACTTTATTTGTTTTCATGAAATTATATAAGCAGGCTACTTTTTAAAATAATTACTTATTTGAAAAATAAGTGTTCTTTAAGTAGGCCATCCGAAAGTTTACAGACAATAATAGTTATGGGTTTTTCTTTTTTCCTTAGCATTATTGCTGTTTGATTATTACTGACGAGATCACAGACAGTGGCAGCTTTAACAGGCTACATTCACACCAATGCACACTTCTATTTCGATATCAGATGTTTTGTCCTGTTCTGAAAACATAACTGACTGTGTTTACATCAATTTCGTATATAAGTATTCGGAGATGCAAGTGCATTGAACCGCAGCTGCGATCAAGCTTCAGGACATCAAACACACAGCACACGTGAAAGTCTGTCAGTACTAGGGATGGGCATTCCAAGCAAAAATAATATTCGAAAATCACTGGGTATTATTAGATTATTACTCAAAAATTGCACCCCTCCCCCGCATGCACACACAAACACCCATAAACAGAGATCGAGGGAGAGAGACGGGATCCAAGCTTTCAATTCTATATGATAAACGGTTTAATTCAGAAGATAGGCTACCTTAACTCAAGCCATATAATGATTGTAACGTGCTGAAACATTAATATAATAAACATAACCGAATGACGGCACTTATTAACATAACAGTCTGTCAATTAGCATAAATCAACTGCTCATAAGGCTAGGACATTTCCATTATAAAAAAAATGGAACCCCTAAAGGGAATAGATACGAGATGGGAGGAAAAATATACTTCAATATCTAGCCGCAATTATATCGTTGGGTAATTATACTGTATATAAACTGCGGGCATCAGGGAGTCATTTACAAGATTAGGTGTTTGTCGGTGGTGCTCAAATCATTCACCATCATCCTATCAAGTCATCTCTCCTTACTCTGTTTTTGTGACCAAACTTGAGCTCTTTGGCATTAACTCGACTCGCCATGTTTGGAGGGAGAGAAATGCTGACTATGACCCCAAGAACACCATCCCTACAGTCAAGCACGGAGGTGGAAACATTATGCTTTGTTGCCGTTTTTCTGCTAAGGGTACAGGACCACTTCACCGCATTGAGGGGCAAATGAACGGGGCCATGTTCTGTAAAATCTTGGACGAGAACCTCCTTCCCTCAGCTTTTGGTTGATATTCTGTCTCTTCACGTTAAAATAAACCTACCATAAAAATTACAGACCCTTCATTTATTTGTAAGTGGGCAAACTTACAAAATCAGCAGGGGATCTAATAAATATGTTCCCCACACAGACTCTACCTGAAAACAGCTACCACTACACATACTCCCACAGTCCTAATTTCCCATTCAACAGTAACCTAAAAGCCCAAAAATAAATAAATACATTTTTGGAAACCCATAGGAGGGCACACAGGTATTAGAGGTGCAGTATGTAATATTGACATCAGGTACATTCCGACACAAAACATTTCAAAGTAGAATAACTGGCTGTAGCAGTGTTTCCCACAGACTTACACTATGTGTGGCGGCACTTCCCCTCGGGGAAATATATAATACAGCAGACGGGCTTATTGAAAGTGCAAATTCATTCTCTGCCAGCAGGAGGCGCTTTAAACGCTCAACTGCGATCTCTAATAACTGGCAGTATAACAAGTGCATAAACAAAGAATAATTGTTAAACAAAACTTTTTCATTTTATTTTAAGTCTAAATACTCCCTCACTTTGCTCATGTTGCGAATGGACATTTATGAACCCTCCACGAGTGACATGCAAGGTCTGAGGTATTCAGATATACACTCTTTAAAATAATGTACTCTTTTGTAAGATAGACATGACAGTAATTTGAATACAGCCTTCGTAAAAATAAAGCAAATCAGCTATGTGGGAAAAAACAACAAAAAAACTGAAAAACACTGTACATCCCTATTTAAAGCCAAACAATATTTGTCATTCATTGGTGTTTAACAGGAGTAACGATGAAACACATAACCTGGATCTTCAACTGCTTTGACCAAATAGCAGTCCAACAACGAAGTGAATTTCAACACGGAAGTTGCAATTCTAGCTGCGACAGAACAACCCAGACACAGTTGGCAATGTGTCATACACTGGGTGCGTGAGGTTTAACAGTTACTAATTTAATCAGTTACACCCAAAACTTGCATGCAAATAAAGGCTTGGCAAACTGAAAAAAGAAACAGGCGGAGCATAGATTTTCCCCATCTACACGAAGATGTTTTTGATGAACCTAGAAATTCCGATGAACTGGACCAAATAAATCCAATGAATAAACCTGTCTGATTCACAAATGGAAGGCCTCATTGGTGACTGGTTCTATGGCACAGACATTTCAAAATCATACTCAAATCATATGAACTCACCGTCACAGACTTCAGTGTCATGCCATGGTAAGTTCCCATAGTGTCGATTTTGAAACCCTCCGTTTCTGTAAAAAAAAAAAAAAAAAAAAAAGTTTCTAAATCATTTACTCACCTGATGAGCTTCTAAATCAATCAGTTCTTAAAAACTACATATTTTTCCAATAAGCCTCAATTGCATTTTGGGGGTTTCATCATCATAATATACTAGTAGGGGTGTGACGAGACACTTATCCCACGAGACAAGACACGAGATTGGGTTCACGAGAACGAGACGAGATTTTTAAACAAATCCTCAATGATGAAATATATAGGAAAAATAGTCTTTTATTCAACTGAAAAACAAAATGCAAAAAAATCTAGGTGCATTTTGAAATCAACTTGGTACTTTATGAAATTAAACTTCTATTTTAATGAATTATATGCCATAATAAACATGTAAACACTGCAAAATGTTCTGCCACAAATTCGACTGACAGGCAAGTAATTACACAAATATTACAAATAGTATAAATACAAATAAATAATAAACGCCACAAATATCACTTTAAAGTGGAAGTGAATCAGTCAGTCAAGTTTACATCATTTAGTATACTGATTTCCACGATGTAACCGTTTTAAAGAAAAAGTATGTTTTGTTATAGCTTTTGGAGCAAGGGTGCCGCCATCTTGCAGTACCACCACGTGTGACGTCACAGGGTTGGTTCGCTCCATTGGACAGTGCACTAATATAAGCATTTCTTTACTTTTTGAACACACACTTGTTTTTAAATTGAGGAAGACAAACTTAAAAAGGACTGTTGAGCCCATAATAAGTGCAACTGCTTATGCATTTGAGCCGGGGAGGAAGAAGTCGTGAACCTGCTTGTTTGGGGTGAAGAACGGTTCGGAAACAATACGTGTTTACGTGGATACTCGTCAAGACCGTGATTCTGACATTATTTTGTGTGCATTTGGTCAAGAAAACGCGAAAGAGAACTCAATTTGGTTCTCGCATATGCTGTCTGAGCTGCGGCTTTTTGCATGCGTGCGCACAGAAACAGTCTCACAGTGCGCGATTACCACACTGAAATCTCTTTCACGCTGTCTCACACTTGAATGGCTTAAAACACTTTAATGTTTAAAGTGACAAGGCTTAAAACATGTGAGAATGATAAAAGGTTCTTGAGGAAGCAGCACTAGCCCAATCGTTCAGATTGATGTGATTAGTTAAACACTGGAGCGTCCTGTTAACAGCAGGTAAGCATATTGTATTCACAGGTGAACATAAAATATCTTACATACCACTGCTGGTGAATAAGCCAGTGTAATGCATATATGTCTGAAAGGTCTGACATATGCCAATAGCACCAGGATATCGACACGTTCACGCGAGACCAGACGGAACTCGCGAGATCTCGTGCCACGAGATCTCGTCATACCCCTATAAACTAGTGCTGTCAAACGATTACGCATACAAAATAAAAGTTTTTGTTTTCATGTGTGCGTGTATGGTGTATATTTATTATGTATACATAAATACACACACATGTGAATATTTAAGAAAAAATTTGTTTTGTTTATATATACTGTATATAGATATACACACACACGTAAATATTTGTAATAATAAAGTATTTATATATGCATAATAAATATACAGTACACACACATGAAAACAACTTATTTTGGATGTGATTAATCACGATTAATCATTTAACAGCACTATAATAAACCGATTATACACTTAATGACCTCTTCACAGATTCGATAAACAATGGTAGCTTGCTAGTAACCAAATTATAATTCTTTTGAAATTATTTAATTCTTATAGAGGTTACGTATTACTAAAAGTGCTGCTTCTACATTTCCTAGATCAGTTTCCTAACCTGTGGGTCACAAACCCCAAAGTAGTTTTCATACGGTTCGTCAAACCAAAGATTTAAAAGGTACTAAAGAAGAACTTTTTTTTTTTTTTTTAATTGTCTGTGCAGGTATTTTCTGCATTACCATTTAACCAACATGTTTGGTGCTCCAAAGGTCAAAACTAAATCCAACTTACCTTCTTTTCCTTTGAATCGCTCCTGATCGTATCTGTTGTAGGCAGCTGGGACTGGCTGTTTATTTCTTATTGCTGGATCCTATGGGATAAAAACAATTGGAGGGCATTAACAAACACAAGTAGACTATTTAAGCTCATATGTTAAAGGGGTCATATGATGCGATTTCATGTTTTCCTTTGTCTTTGAAGTGTTAAAAGCTGTGCATACAGAAGATCCGTAAAGTCTCAAAGATTAAAGTCTCAAACCCAAAGAGATAGATATTTTTTCTAAAAGTGAACACTCAGCCACGCCTTCCTAAAACGCTTTGTTCAGACACGCCCCACATATCTACCTCACTGTGTGGGAGGATTTGCATAACGCCGCCCAAATGTTCACGCAAAGAAAAGTGGCGTAACTTTTATTCTCGCTGTAGTATTGTTGCTGCCTGTCGTGGAGACGCTGTGTGTTTCGTTGTGAAAGACGAACTACTTTGTTTGGCAGGGCTATACGCTTACTTTTCTTTATAGTGCCCCGAACTTAAAATTTAGGAGCACGTTCAAAATTTTAGGAGCACCTTCTAATCAATAATCTAAAATGTTATCAAAAAGTAGCCTTCCCATTACGAGGTGATATTTGACTCCTCTAACTTTATTAAAAGTATGTCATCTTTTGTCAAATTCTTTAAAAAAAATTATATTTTATAAGCTTTTTAAAAATTGTAATTAAAATGACAGAATAAGAACAAGTAGAATAAGAAATATAAGTTACCAATCAAATTAAATCAGTATTAAAATTAATTTGTAGAGTAATTTCCATAAATCAATGGAAAGTTTATTTATTCAGCTTTCAGATGTATAAATCTCAATTTTGAAAAATTGACCCTTATGACTGGTTTTGTGGTCCAGGGTCACATATAGTTTACACACACACACACACACACACACACACACACAGTAAATCTACCTGTTAAGTAGGAATGTAACGATTCACTCAACTCATGATCTGATTCACGATTTTGATTTCACGATTCGATTTTCTCACGTTTTTTAACAAAATGAGATCGAAGACATTATACAGTAAATGAAAATGTGTCGTTTTATTAGGATATTGCTGCAAGTTTCTTTGTGAAATTGAAATAAAACTAAATTGAAATTAACCCCAAATCAAACAAGATACACAAATAAAAGAAATCGCTTAATATGAACAAACTAAGGCTTTGTCTGTGCTCTTTCCATTTAAAATTAGAGGCAACCACTGCATTTTAATCATGATCCAAACAAAGATGCAGCATACATTTAGATTAGTTTTTAATCTAAATTAGACTGCATAATTTCGAAATTTGAAGCAAAAACAGAATGGTCTGACTTTAGTATTTTTGAAAAAATACTACATAAAAACATCTGAACGAAACAGCAGACGAGCTGCAGATTCACTCTCTGACAGCAGGTGGCGCTTATGAACAGCAATGATAGTGTTTCCTGGGTTACCGCTGTAAACAAAGCAGAGCTGCTTATGAACACTACTTTAATATGCATTGTTCAGAGGCAAGGTGAAAAGAAAATACCACGTAAACGATTCTAAAGATAGTCAGTTCCCCTCAAAGATACATTTATATAAACTCCTACTCCAATTGTATCGCGATTTGTTTAGCATCGCAACCGATTTGAATAGTCACATATTTGATTCGATTTTCGACCGGCTCGCAGTTAATCATTACATCCCTACTGTTAAGTGTTTTTTTTAGGTCACTGTTTTATGAGTGACAACAAACTTTTATAGTGTTTTGGAAGAATGAGCTGATTTGAGACATGTATGAAGTGGTTTTGGTAGTTTAAGTGAATTATGAATGTAAAATTAACTGCTGTGCTAAAATTAAAGTTTGTTATGAAAGCTGAGTGAAGAGTTTTGAAAAAGTGTTTTAAATATTGAGAAATGCGTCCTAGCAATTGTTAATAACTGAAGCAAACACGGCTTATGTACCAAGCGAGCTGTATGGCCCTTTGAAGTTCTATTTTTTTTTAAAAACCCACCTATTCTGATATACAGCTGATAAGGAAACAAACCACAAACACTGGCACATTAATAAAGCGGCTCTGTTCGTGTACTCACCACCTGCGTTTGGTTCTGGGTCTGTCTCTGTTCAGGGGCTCGACCTTCCTCCCGCGCCTTCACTGATTGTAGGATGGCAAATATATTTTTGGAGAAATTCTACAACATCAAAAGATCATCATGTTCAGGAGTTCATATCCTTTAAATATAACTAACATTTATCTTTCTCAATTGTGCACAACTGTTTATGAAAGAAAGTATAGGAGAGAGGGGAAAAAAAAACAACACAAACATGACTTTAAACCAAGTTATGATTTAACTAACCATTCAAAATCCAACCCTAACAAAATAATCCGAACAAGACCACATCTGTTTGATCAGTGAAACACCACCACCTGTAGGACAACTGTTTTATATATTAGAACCACCAAAACACCGGCTGCAACAATCCAGATATATATCATTTTAATTAGGCAATAAATAGTTTGAAAAATATAATAATAATAATAGTTGCAACAAGTATGAAATCTAGATGTAAATAATTTTACTTCGCCAATAAATAGCTTGAAATAAAAAATGTAAATGCATGTATTTTTTTTTTTTTTTAAAGGAAAAAAAATGAATAAACATCTGTGTCCAACAACTTAAAATATATTTTCAGTATTTTTTGTTGCCAACAATGCTGCAAATTATCAGCTGCAAATTCTGCTAAATTAGAACATTTCACTTTAACTGGATATGCAACTTGATTAAATGTTGATTAATTCATTAATATACATTTCAAAGATAGTGGCAGCAGAGTAAATTATTGAAGAGACATTGGGTAGGAAAGTCTAATGTCCATGATGCCATTTATTTATATATTTTAATATATGTTAAAGGGCTAGTTCACCCAAAAATGAAAATGTGATGTTTATCTGCTTACCCCCAGGGCATCCAAGATGTAGGTGACTTTGTTGTAAACTACGCCAGAGCGCGTACACACCTCACGCAGCGGATGCCGTGCGCGCGCGCGCCCAAAGACAGTTGGACATAGTGGTGTATTAGAGGTAAAATATGATATAAATACTGTTCGGTTTCTGGCACAAACCGATCGTTTAGTGTCTTAGGACATCAATGTGCCGTCACGAGCCGCAGGGTTTAATTTGGATTTGTCTGTGCATGGTTTTTTTACTCTCATAGATTTTGTTACCATTGCCATGCATTATATGACTGACAGACTGCAACGGTTAAAGTTAAAAATCATCATTTGTGTTCTACTGAAGAAACAAAGTCACCTACATCTTGGATGCCCTGGGGGTAAGCAGATAAACATCACATTTTCATTTTTGGATGAACTATCCCTTTAATGTCTTAAATGGACAGCCCTGAGTGTCTCTTACCTTGCCAGAGCTCTGTAAAATGGTCGTCCTCGTCCGCCACACTCTCTCTCGGCTCACAATGTCTCTGGTCACGTCCACCTCAGCATCCACGAAGCTTCTCTGTTTCTGGGTGATGTCATCGTCCAGGTCAGTCTTGATGGTAGAACGCTTCTTGGCCATGATTTTGGCCTTGATAGCAGCAATCTTCTCCACAGACATGGCTTCTGACAGAGACCTAAGATCAGAAGAATAATTAGATAAACTAGGAGAACTAAACAGTTAAGATATGACAAGCCGTGTTATATTGTGAATAATAACAAAAAAGGGCCCTATCCTACACCTGGTGCAATGTGATGCCAATGTTTTTTTTTTAGTTTCAGCCCGACGCAGTTATTTTCACATCCAGTGCGACGTTGTTTAAATAGCAAATGAACTTGCGCCCATGGGCGTGCTGGTCTGAAAAAAAGGTGTGTTCAGGCGAATTGTGAGCGCATTGCTATTTTAAGGCAACTGAAAACTGAGTGCACCATTGACCAACTAAAACCTGGTCTAAAGTCAATGGCGCAGTATTTTTTGAATATTATTTAAAGGGCGCGTTAGTAATATGCGCCTATAGGCGGTTGCACACTCTGCTTAATACACACGCAGCAGCACACAAACATCTCAAATATTAAAAATGAAAGGATTACAATGTAAAAGATTATTACTGCGCCCCGTAGATGGTATGCTCACATGCTTTAACCTCACACACGAGCAGAACCTTTCCTCTCTGAAGAAGCGTTCAGTCTTTGCTCTTGCAAAATCTAGCAAATCCGCCATAGCACGAGCACAACTGGCATTTAAAGGGAATAGGAGATAAGACTCTGATTGGCTGACAGCACGTTACGCACAAAGCACACCCATGACTCATTAAGAGAATAGGTACATCCCTTTTGGACCATGTGCCTGGCGCGCTGACCGTTTTTCCCATCATTAAACTAGCAAAAGTTGATTTGTGCGCCATGCGCTTCAGCCCATGCGCTTAGATCGTTAAAATAATTGTTAGGCAATTCCTTAAATTGATTATATTTACTAAACAACACAGCTTTACTAGGTTAATATAACTGTAATTACACAAAAATATTAGAAACTAAATATTAAAAATGTAATTTAGAAAACTTATTGAAGGGATAGTCCATCTAAAAATGAGAATATTGCCATCATTTACTGTTGTTCCAAACCTGTATGCATTATTATCTTCTGCTGAACACAAAAGATGATATTGAGGAAAACCTTTTGTACATATTTTTGTGCACAGTCTTAAAATGCTGGATCAGTTTGATCATACCGGATCTGATCTGTCTGCACAATGCTTTCCTTATGAGCCTCGAGGCGAGCAGCCAGACGCTCCTTATCCAGACGCACACGCTCTTCATCCTGAGAAGCGCATGCAAAAATCATAAGCAGCATCCAGGCATGTTGCTTTTCAGCATTTCAAACTGCAAAACAGATCTTTTTTTGTATTTAAGTTTTAAAATGCTTCTTACCTCAACCCGAGGCTTTTTTGCCTCTGAAGACACTTCATCTGCTGCCCTTTTAACTGTTAAAACAATTGCAATTTAATGCCAGGATACGGGTGATCGTTCAATTAGAGGCACTTTTGACTACTTTAAATCTTGAAAGATGACATTTCATCAAATTATTATTACTACATGCTCTAAAATTAAGATCTAATTATGGCCTATTATGATTTTTTTTTTAATGGCAAGAATACGCTCAAATAAAAAAAAAAACACACACCTTGCGTCGGCCTTTGTAAACCAATCTCAATGGGTGCACTTCTGTCGATACTCGTTGATGATGCTGTAAAATTGAATTAAATGACAACCAGATAAATAAATGTTGTTTTAATAAAGAGCTTGAAGACTAATGTCTGCGATTCCTCGTCACACTTACAGCTTTCTCCATTGAGATAGGACAGCAAGTCTTTTCTGTCGGGTCGTCTTACAACAGGGATGTTCTCTGTCTGCAATCACAGAAGCAGGCTTGCATTTTACTTTCCAACCACCTGTGCACACAAACTAGGCCTACATTATAAAAGAAAACCATTAAGATAAGGATATTTCCCGTTTATAGACAGCGAACTAAGCCAACCCTCTACATTGCGAGTAAATCACTCGCATATGCGACTAGATCTTATTCTGGGCGAATGTGTGTGAGAGGCATTCAACACAGATTTTCACTCGATAAACATGCTGACTGAGCGCTTGAGAGTTTCGCTCTCCGTCAAGCGATCTGTACTATTTGGATGCACTCAATGGATCATGTCAGGTACTCAATGGATGCGCAGTATGTAGCACGCAGCGCACCTGTATTTGACGTACCATAAACTAGTATGAAGGCGCACGACTCGCCGTCGCTTTACTGATATCGCTGTGTTTCTCACACATGCAAAGAGAGCGAGCGAGAGTCTTGCATACCACACTGAATCGACGCGCTACATGTAAACCATATTCTTTGTTGTATTTTCCTGTCAAAATAACAGTTCATTTAGAATTATTCTGCTTTTAAGAACAAGCAGAAGATATGCCGGTTTCTCGGCAGTGGGCGGAGCTAATGCTCAAACAGCTCTCGTTGGCTGGCGCTCATCTATTACCGTCCCTGTTTTGATTTCAGAAAATCAGTTCGAGCGAACGCTGACAACGTGATTAATATTCATGAACCCAGCAGATAATAATAGTAGTAGTAGTATCTTTTAATAATAATTACTATTACCTATGACCAACAATATCTTAAACACCACCACCAGTCTTAAGTTCAGTTAAAATGACAAATATGCATTCATTCATGGTTACCAAGTTTTAGTTCTAATCACTAGTTCTATCATTAAATAGTGCTTAATTATCATAATATAATGCTTGATTGGCTGAAGTTAAGAGTGCACATTCAGTTATTTAAGAAGCTGTTCCATTTTACAAAGATAAGCTGATTGGGTGGAATCATATGTGTGTGTACTTAACCATATTTTGGGGACAAATTTGTACCCAAAAGTGAGCAAAACCTGACAAAATCGGCAAAAACCTCAATTTGTGAATGTCCTCCTCATTTGTAAAACTGTTATAAAAATAAAGTAAACACCGTTTTTTTTTTTAACTTTTATCTGGCGAGTAAACAAAAAAATTTACTAGCCAATGGCGATTATATTGCCAAGGTGTGCGTAGAGGGTTGTAAGCTTGAATTAAAACCTGAATATAAGACGAACTCTTGCATTACAGCAGACTCTGACTTCTGGGAGAGGCAGGGTTTAAATGTACTTAAATATCATGAAAATAAATGACACAAAAATAATAATAAAAAAAGTAGCACACTTTAAACACATTTTAGAGTGTGCGCGCTATATACCGAGCGATTGTACTTACTGCAGCTCTCCGCACATAGGACGGGTGAGGAAGATGCACATTGTTGAGCAGGAAAAGAATAGAGTCAAGAGTGTAGTACTCTTTAGGCTGTCCCTCTTTTCCAGTTCTGTAATTAAATTGAATGTTAAAAAAAAAATTAATACACGCAAACAAACACTGTTCAAAAGTTTCTTCTAAATTTTCACCACAAATTATATCACCAGCATAAAATACATTTTGTATATATATACACACACACACACATCTCAATAAATTAGAATGTCATGGAAAAGTTAATTTATTTCAGTAATTCAACTCAAATTGTGACACTCATGTATTAAATAAATTCAATGCAAACAGACTGAAGTAGTTTAAGTCTTTGGTTCTTTTAATTGTGAACCCACCAATTCACTATCTCAACAAATTAGAATACTTCATAAGACCAATAAAAAAAATTTTTTAGTGAATTGTTGGCCTTCTGGAAAGTATGTTCATTTACTGTACATGTACTCAATACTTGGTTGGGCCTCCTTTTGCATGAATTACTGCATCAGTGCGGCGTGGCATGGAGACAATCAGCCTGTGGCACTGCTCAGGTGTAATGGAAGCTCAGGTTGCTTTGATAGCGGCCTTCAGCTCATCTGCATTGTTGGGTAACAATGCAGATGAGCTGAAGGCCGCTATCAAAGCAACCTGAGCTTCCATTACACCTGAGCAGTGCCACAGGCTGATTG